TAAGGCACGAGGGAAGTTTGGTTACGAAGTTTTGGCCTTAAAATTATGGTGTTGTCACGGGCAACTTACTCCGTTTCCATTGGTAACAATATCAACGGCCGTTGGTAGCCTGTCGCGATCGCCTACAATTTCGCGCGCTTTGCTGCCAATGACGTCAAAGGCCGACAAGTTACCAGTGGATACGGAGCCAGTTGCTCGTGACAACAACAAGATTTTTACGTTAAAACCTGGTGACCAAACTTTCGTCCCGCCTTACTCAACTGATAATCGTAGTAACTAGTTTTTTTGAGACAATTTCCTTTCCCGTTGAACAGTTCACGGTGGTTGGTCAAGTTGGAGTGCATGGAATTCCTGTAATAAACCCTGTGGAACCGGTTTTCAAGAGCGTTCTCGGAGTTGTACGAGCCCCGCGCCTAGTTTTGGCGGGAAACCATGCAAAGGAGCAGCGCGGCAAAATAACGAGTGTAATACGCATGCGTGTCCAGGTAAGACAAATAAGGACACGTGCCCTGTTCTTAGAACAGGCCATTTTCAAGTTGATAGAAATTAGCTTTTCTGAACGACATCGTGTTGACAAAAATGTTGTTCGATAGGACGTCATCTATTGGCAACTCTCAAACAATCTTCACTTAGCATGCTGCAAAATAACACCTCTTTTGACTATATTTTATCCTTCCTTCGTTACTTAGTTGATGGCGGTTGGTCAAGCTGGTCTGTGTCGACCCCCTGTAGCGTTACTTGTGGCAGTGGAGTAGAAATCCTTTCTCGTACCTGCACAAATCCCGCACCTAAACATGGCGGAAGATCTTGCTCTGGGGCGGGGCGAAAGGAACAGGCATGTAGTAAGAACCCTTGCCCAAGTAAGTACTTTTGGACTGCCCCTTAAAATTTGAAAAAATTACAATTCGCCTTTGCTTCCCCCTCCCCTCCCCCCCCCCCCCGGCCCATCATTTTAGTGTTGTGTTTATATGTGTGGCTTACAATGGCTAGGGTTAGGGTCATTTCGAATCAGTCTTTTTCACTAACGACCATGTTAGATGAATGTCAATTGACATCGGTCTTTCTGT